AGAGGTGGACCCCTGAGGCATGGCGTACAGGGTTCTGTGTGTCTCCCTCTGCCCTTGAATACTCTGCTTCCCAACTGCTGTGCCATGAGCACCTCTCCCCTGCTATTCCCTTCTGCTCTGTTGCCCTCTTTGCAGGCAGAAGGTTGTGGATTGAAATCTCTCTAAACTGGGAGTTTTTGTTCTTTTGTTCTGGTGGAGCATTGCCACCCTAGCCCCTGGTCTTCACACTGTGTGTGTCCCAGATGGGTTTATGGAGACCAGTGTTCCTGCAGGGTCTGCCAGGAAGGGCCTGATGGTCTGAGGGACCTCTGTCTACTGCTTCCTATGAGTGCTGGTATGCTGTATATGAGCAAAGCCTTGACTTTGCATGCAGTGCCCGATTGCATGTGTTCTCCTTGGTGACTCTGGGCAGGAACATTTAGACTTCTGGACGACAGATGCTATCAGCTGTACAACACAGCTATGAATGAATATTCTTGTATCACTCTTTTGTACATTTTTCCCCACTGAGTATGTCCAAGTACCTTGGGAATTGCTGTGATAAACTTTTAACCTTAATAGAAACAGCCAGTTTCTTTTTGAATGGTTTCCCACTGTTGCTGAATCCCAACTTTTCTGTATCCTTGACAGCATTTTCTGTCCTTCTCGTACATCCATCTTGGAAATATCATTTCATCTCTCTTATTTTATCATTAAAGTCTTCTCAATGTATTCTACTACAATGTCTTGTAAGAACTTTAGCTTTCAGTTTTTAAGTCGATGTCAAGTCTAATTCATATCTTGGTCACAAGACCACTTGGTGTGTGGCTGACACTAGCATTCTGCTCTCCAGAAATCTCTCCACTGAATATGTATTGGCAAAAGTAGTACTCTGGGGCTGGAGGGATCACTCAGTAGAATTAGTGCTTGCCTGGCAAACACAGGGGCCTGAGTTCTTTCCCCAGTTCCAAAAAAAAAAAAAAAAAAAAAAACAATACAAAAGTAGTGCTCTGATCTCTGATACCCACAAGCCTTGGGTCTCCATTTTCTTTTGCTCCTCTGTCTCCTTCACTCTGTTTTGAATACCATTCAATGCAACCATTTTCATTCCCTTATTGAACTGCTTTTGTTGAAAACTAGTTGACTACAAGTTGGGGATGAGTGTCAAATCACTCAACTCCTGTTGCCACTTGGATGCTGCCTATTCTAGAGCAGCTTACAGGATCTTAAATTCAGTTGGTACAAGTGCACGGGTTTTTCTCTTTCCTCATAAGGTAGAATGAATTTGAAAATAAGTAGTCATTGGCCCAGTCATCGCACTGATTAGATGAGCTAATACTTTAAGAAATTCAGTTTCTTCTAAGATACAAGCATCAAGATTTTTGCTTGGGAACAAAAGTACTGTAGTTCTCTATACAGCCTCTTTATCTTAGGGAAAGTCATATCTCTAACAATGAAATCAGTCAAGCTCAAGGTTATTTTACAATGTCTTGTCATTTTACAGTGTCTCTTTCTAGAGAAGTTGCAGTAGATTGAGGGCTCCTACTTCCCGAAAGAAATATATTGAAATTGTAACCCAATATTAAGAGAGGTGAAGCCTGTAGGAACTAATTTTGGAGCATGAAGGTGGAGTTCTGAATCATTTCAATGTCTTTGAAAAAAAAAATGACCTCATGAATTTCTTACCACTATGTGACAATACGAGGTGGGCACTGCACTCTGCATGAGAAAGGGGTCTCTGGCACAACTCTGCTCTGCTGACACCTGACCTCAGACTCATGGCTTCCAGAGTGACACACACATTTCTCTTGGAGATAATCTAACCAGTTAGTGGCTCCTTACTTCAGAACCCAAACAGTCCCCCCTGTATTTCCTCATGTGCCAAGGTAGGCACTGGGTGTCACAAATGAAGGCTGAGGCAGAGAAAGAGAGGAGGCAGTAAACTAGAACCAGAAATGGGAGCTTAAGGTCTACAGTAGGATTCAAGATTTTGGAGGAAGAGAAAACACCAACATGTGGATACAGAGTGGTCATTCTAAAGGCACTGATTCAAAACTCTGATTTTTCAACAGGTATTTTGTCAACTTTTCTTTTGTTTATGCTCAACATTTCTATGTTTCCAAAATGGCATAGCTGACCTCTAGTATTGAAGTATGTTCCTGGCTACACAGTTATATAAAATGACCAACTTAACATTCTAACCCGTGACCCTTCCAGATTTCTCTTGGTTTCCACTGCCAGCCCAAAGAAAGTTTGCAGCACCTTGGTCTTAGGCCACCAAGATCTCTGATCCCTGGACCTTTTATACTCTCAAAATTGTCTTCCTCTTTCTAGAACGTTCACCTTGCCCTCAACCAGGCTACTAGGGGTCTGATCAGCCCCCAGGGGTGGGAGAAATGATGGGCAAGGCCTGCAGGGAGGAACTCTGATGCAGACACAGGAATATGTGTAGCAGAGTCACTCCTTTCCTAGCAGGGAAGTCCTAGTTTGTCTTTTGAGGCAAATAGAGACAAACAGGAGCCTCAGGAGGGACATGGGAACACAGAAGGAAATCTTTTTTATCTCACCTGTGTTCTTTTCTTTCTTTCTCTTCTCTTTCCTCCCTCCTTGTCTCCTCTATCCCGTTCTCTTTTCCTTTCTTTTCTACACACCATGACCCAAACATTCTGACCAGAAGATCCTGCTAGGGCTATCTGACCTCATTTAGTACCAGCAGCACCATGAGGCCAGGGGAATGCCTTCTCTTTTCAGTGGCTCTGTGAGTCTGGAGAGAAGATGCAGAAGAAATCCGAGAAAAAACAATGGCCCAAGTGACCCAAATCTAAGTGCCTTGAGAAAACGCCTAGGGAAATCTGTCAGAGAACTATCTGTGCCCAAACACTTTACAGTCAAACTGACAAGAGAGGAAGACAGAATTTAGAAAGTAGCTAAAGGAAGCCATACTTGGCACCTGCGCTGCATCAGAAAACCCTGTCTCAAAAGACAAAAAGAGATAAATAAACTGAATACATGAGAAAAGTGTAGACTTTACTACTTAGCAGAATGTGATTGAAAGTATTCACATGATCATGCTCTTGGAATTTCACTAAATGGAGATTCAAAAATGCTTGCAGTCCTCACAGCAGAGCTGGCCAGCAGTAATGGTTAAGGCATTCTTCCAAGCCTCCCCCTCTGCCTCCTTCAGGCTGTCCCTCTCCTTACACATAGATTCATTAGCAAGTGCATGTGAACAGGTGTCTCCTAGATGAGTCATTCAAAAAATGAGCTGCTGCCTGCAAGCAGTACTCACACCGCTATGGGATTGATTTTTACGGTGGTGGTGGGTACATTCCCATTTTTTCCTGTAGATCTTGAAGGGCCACCTGAAGAGCTGCAGGTCAGGCCATCAAACTGGATGTCTCTAGCTGGGTGTTCTGGAATATTCCAACAGCTTCCTACTTCAACCACTGATATGACAATCATCTTAAGTCTTGCAAAGTTGTATAGCTGTGTATGTGAAAAGAATCCCTACCATTAGCTCTGCAGCATAAAGTGATCTATGTTTCAAATTCTTATGAACTGGTGAGGGGGTGCATGCCATATGAGGTTTGCCCAGCATTCAGGAGGCTGAGCCATGAGAATCACTGTGAGTGTGAGGCCATCCTGGACTACACAGTGACTTCAAGATCAGCCTGAACAACAGAGCAACACGGCCTCAGAAGGACCAAAAATCCCAAACTGAAATCACAACTATCTCAAACTGAAAGAGGAAGTCCAACAAGGCACCACACAGCTCTCTGAGAGAAGAACATCCATGACTTTGTCCTCAAGTGCACCTCGCAGGACTGATGCATCCACATTCTTTCCAGATCTGTGTCACCTCAGAGTTAGGACACCCTGATCTGAGAAGGACACATGACCTGTCAGTAATGTGTGCATCTGTGTCATGGCAGACTGGTCACCCTGGCCCTGGAGCACAGCTTATCTTTTATATTGCAGGAGCGAGTCTTTTATTCCCACTAAACAATCAATGCCTGAGTGTTCACTGTGACCCTGAGGTATGGATCCTCACAGAGGTGTGGGTTCCAAGAAACACATTTCCCTCCAAGTTTTTCTTTGTAAAATTTTCAAAGTTATTCTTTGTTTTCTGTTCACCTGAAATATGATCAGCCACTTCTTTGTGGTTTCTACTCCTCCTGTGAGGGACACTAAGTAAGTTCCATGCCCCCAGTACAGACACATTCATTATGGGACTCTCCTCTTCACCTCTCGCTGGGGAGCACTTCCCTTTCTAACCAAAGCTAGGATGAGTCAGGCCGCTCCGACACGATGTGGCCAGTGAGAAATCTGATGGCAGCAATGTGAAAGAATCCAGAATATGGAAATCCCAGGGAAAGAAACAGGGCACAGGGACAGGTGAGGGACCCCATGTGGGGGTGAACTGAGGAAAAGGTGTGGTACTGGATGGCAGGAAGCTGCCCAGCTTGTTGTCACTGACCTGGATACCACAAAATCTACTTCTGAAATTCTATTAAAAATCAATGTATTTACATACTTACAGGACACTGGGAGTTAAACAGTGAGCAAATACAGCATTAGGTGCAGAAGGCAGGGAGGAGGGGGTGGGCATGGGGCAGGAGCTGGCTGCAGATGGACCAAAGTCTGGAGGTGACACCTGCTTTGGGAGCACAAGGGGCTCCAGGTCTACAGCTGGTTAAGAAGTGGCTCCGGCAGCTAGCTCTCACTTTACAGCTAGAGTGGTGAGGGAGCTGCACACAGTGGTGGTACAGGCTCTGCAGGGGGGCCGTGAACTTCGGCTGCAGCTGGGCCTGCAGCTAGAAGAGGAGAGGGGATCAGTGACTGCTCTAGCACCCTCCATCAGAGCCGTGTCCACCAGCCCATTCCAAGAGGTCACCACTGACTGCACCCAACCACTGACTGCCGAGTCTCTAAACAGGGCACCTGGGAACCTGCAGTACCTGCTCATCCCCACCCTCCCCGTATGCCCACAGGCACCTACCCCAGTCTGCTAAGCCTTGCTCTCTTCTTCAGTGTGGTTGAGGGTCTACAGAGTGGTCAGAGGGCAGAGTGCTGGGGGGGTCCACCTGGGTGTCTATCCCCAGCTGGGATTCAAGGAGGAAGGAGGCATGCCTGAGTAATGACAGGAAGAGACCTTGTTGAAGGGTGTGACCACCTTCCCTTCAGTAAAGTGTGGCCCCTCCATCTTCCTTCTCCTGCCCACTGCTTGTGAAAACTTTGTGAAAAGGCAGGCATGTCCACCATGGCAGTGGCTTTATGGGCAAAGGGGAGCTGCTCAATACATGCCTGAGAAGTGAGGAAAGTAGGTATGTATCCTGCTCAACCTTCTCCCATTCTTTGGCTTATTGCTCGGCCTGGATCTGTGTCCTCTAACCTCCTCTTATCTGTGCTGTAGGAAGTTCCCAAGACTGAGGCATCTCCCCTTCTTGGGGCTTTACCCACTATTTACCACTAGATGGGATTCAGTCCCTGACTCCTACAGAAACCCAGTAGCACATCAGATGCCCCTTCTAGGTCACTAGAGCACCCTCAGTCCTGCATAAGTGTCTGCGTATAGTGTGGCTTCATGCTTGCTGTTGGAGAAAGGCACACATCAGCCTGTTCCTTGATACCAGGGTGAGTTTGGTCCCTCTGCCAGCTGGCAAAGACTCCTGCTCTGTCTAAAGCCTATAGAGGAACTCTGCACTCTCATTTACAGTAAGCAGAATAGCTTTGCCAGCTTCAGGATTAGCAGGGGCTGCAGGATCACTAGTGAGAAGAAGCACAGCCATCACAGCAGATCTTCCTCACAACAGGGACAAGGCCAGCACCTGAGACCACTCAGAGACCCCATTTCCTCCTTCAGTGTCCCTGTGGGCTTGGCTTAGGAGGACTGCTCTTCTCAGAGAGGCACACAGAGGCTGAGGCTCGGAGACAGTCCCAGGATGTGCTACTGTCTGTGGCCCATGCTCACTGCGCTGCAGTGGTCAGCACTCACCTTCTCATTATCGTGGCCTGGTAGGTGAAGGTGGACATCCTGGTGGTGCTCAGGAAGGAGGGCCCATGGAAGGCTTGGCCGACGGGTAATGCTGCCTCCATCCACTGTGTGATGGAGAGTATAGAGACTGTCTCCACCTGCCATTCTTCCCAGACTTCTGTGAGGCTCCCAACCCAGTGGTTTTCAATCTGACGTGAAAGACAGGGAAGGCATGGAGTCAGTGGCCAAACTGAAAGGCACTAGGAGGGTTTTGGGCAGAATCTTGGATCAACCCCCAAATTCCTTTGAGAAGCTTGCCTCCAGAGAGGCAGAACTGCCTGATCACAGTAGTGGTTCTCAAAGGTAAAGTTAGATTTCAGAACAGAACTGTGGGAAACCTTAGCAATTCCAAGCCAGTTCTTTAGCCAAGCACAGTTCATTGGACTCTGCCTGCCTAAAGATGGTCGAACAGTGTTAACTGGGACAATATCACTTGGTAGAATAAAGAAGACAGGGGCTCATCCCTTGCAAGTGGGTCTTCACACAAGGACTACCTAGATGTTACTGGAATATAAAAGGAAATGTTCCCAGGAAGTAATGGAGTCCAGATCCCCAAGCATGAAGAGTTGGGTGGTTGTTGTCACCACATCCCTTCTCTAGTATAGCTTGGATCAGGCAAAACTAGCTCCTGATAGGACCCAGGATACTGGCCTTTGAGCCAGCAAGTGACAGAGTAGGAAGAAATCCTGATGCATTGGATGAACAAAGCTCTGGAAATCCCATGAGGTGTAAGAGTTGGAGAAGTGGTGGAATGAGAGTCAAGGAAGTGCCACACAGACACCTAGGTGCAGGACTTAAAGTAGTGCAGAGTGGCATGGTGTCACTATTCCTTTGAGGCAAACAGGGAGATGGGCAGAGAGGAATTGAGTGAGGAAGGACATGAAGGCAAGATTCCTTTGGGAGCAAGACATGGGGTGTGGTGTCTACACAGTCCTGGAATGAGGTGTCCAGGCTGGTGTCTGGCTTCTCCTTTCTACTAAGGGATGCCGTCTCAGTTATCATGGGTTGATGTTCTATAGGCAGGCAGGGGGCACCTGGGCTTGGCTAACAAATTAGATTGGAATCAGTAATGTTTCCCACAGTTCTCTTCTGAAATCTAACCTTACCTCTGAAAACCACTGTTATGCTCAGGCTCCTTGCCTCGCTGGAGGCCAACGTCCACTTATATTTCTCCTCAAATCCTGAGCAGGAGACTCTTCTATTCCCATGGCTACCGAATGACTGAGGTGGCCCTTGTGGCATTTTACAGCCCCAACGTCTTGTGAAAGAAAATGGCACAAAAGTCTCCAGTGATCTACTCGGAGCACCGTGTCCTCTGTGCAGCTATGTGTGCAGCATGTCCATCCACCCACGGAGGCATCAGGCCCTGCTGGCTTCTGGGATGTTTATGGCCCTGGTGACCTTTTGTAACCCAGATCACACACACACATGGGTACAGGATGCTACTCCAGTAGGAGAGGAAGTCAATCTTGGGAGCTGTGTATTAAAGCTGAGCACTGGAACTCCTTGCCTGGCAGTCCTCTCCTGGACATAAATTTGACAGGACACTATACACACAACATCCCAGCATCTACTGCTCCACAGGAAGACTATCCCTCATGGCCCCAAATCTCTTGCACCCATAAAGAACTTTTGCAGTTCTGCAGGAAACTCACAGTGGTTCCCAGGTCAGGGTGGACTTGTGGTGGACAGCATGGTGTCTCTTGATGGCTGGTGGACATTCTTTCGAAGACATCGCATGGATTCACTGCCATCTCTGGGCATGATAGTGCCATGCCAGAGAAGACCTCCTTGGGTCTTCTCTCTGACTTCTGTTGTCTAGTGGCCAGGTGTGGCTTAAGCTCTTCAGAAATGACCTCTGGAACACTTGGTGTTTGTTGGGGCCTCATGGCCAGGCCAAAGTCCAATTCCTCCTGAAGGACTTCTCTTGAGCTTCCAGGTATTTGGGGGTTTGTCATACCCTGGCCTAGAAAGATCTCCTCTGGGAAGAACTTGTTGGTGCTCCTTAGGCTTTGTGGGTGTCTCCTGTGTGGGCTTGGGAAGACCTGCTCTAGCAAGTCATCGCCTGGGCTCCTCGGTGTTTGTGGGTGCCAACTGAGTAGGCCTGGGAAGACCTCCTCTGGAAAGACACCTACTGGGCTCTGCGATCTTTGTAGTTGGCAACTGCATAGTCCTGGGGCATCCTCTTCTGGCAAGATGTCACCTGGTCTTCTTGGTCTTTCAGGGTACCAACTGAATAGGCCTTGGAAGACCTCCTCTGGAAAAACACCTCCTGGGCTCTGCGATCTTTGTAGGTGGCAACTGCATAGACCTGAGTTGACCTCCTCTGGCAAGACGTCGCCTGGGCTCCTTGGTCTTTCTGTGTGCCTCTTGGCTAGGCCTGGGAGGACCTCCCCTGGCAAGATGTCCCCTGGGCTTCTCAATCTTTGTGGATGGCAATGATGTAGTCCTGGGGCATCCTCCTCTGCCAAGATGTCTCCTGGGCTTCTCGGGCTTTCAGGGTACCAACTGAGTAGGCCTGGGAAAACCTCCTCTAGAAAGACTCCTCCTGGGCCCTGTGATCTTTGTAGGTGGCAACTGCATAGTCCTGGGGCATCCTCCTCTGGCAAGGCATCACCAGGACTCCTCGGTCTTTGAGGGTGCCAACTGAGTAGGCATGGGAAGACCTCCTCTAGAAAGATGTCGCCAGGGCTCCTCGGCCTTTGTGAGTGCCTCTTAGCTAGGCCTGGGAAGACCTCCTCTGGCAGGACGTTGCCTGGGCTCCTTGGTCTCTCTGTGTGCCTCTTGTCTAGGTCTGGGAGGACCTCCCATGGCAAGATGTCCCCTGGGATTCTCAATCTTTGTGGATGGTAGTTATGTAGTCTTGGGAAACCTCCTCTGGAAAGACATGGCCAGGGCACCTTGGGCTTTGTGGCTGCCTCTTGGCTAGGCCTCAGCATCCCTCATTTGGAAAAATGTTGACTAGGCTGCTTGGCCTTTGTTGGTGTCTCCTGGCTAGGCCTGGGTAGCTCTCCTCTTGCAAGATGTCTCCTGGGCTCCTTAGGATGTGTGGGTACCTCCTGGGTAGGCTTCAGAAGACCCTCTCTTGGAAGACCTCTCCTGGGTTTCTCGGTCTTCGTGGGTCCTGACTGGCTTGGCATGGGTAGAACTCCCCTGGGAAGACCTCTCCTGGCCTCGAAGGTTGTTGTGACTCTGTTGCATACTGCCTTAGGAAAATCTCCTCTGATAAGACCTCATCTGAGCTGCTCGATCTTTGTGGGTACCTACTGGTGAGGCATGGGGAGACCTCCTTTGGGAAGCCTTTGCCTGGACTCCTCGCTCTTTGAGGGTACCTCCTGCCCAGGCCTGAGAAAACGTCCTCTGGGAAGACCTCTCCTGGTCCCGTTGGTCTTTGTAGGTGCCTTCTGGCTAGATCCCGAAAGATCTTCCCTGGGAAGGCCTCCCCTGGGATCCAGGTTGTTTGTGGGTTTCTTATACCATGGCCTGGGAAGCCCTCCTCTGGAAAGACCTCCCCTTGGCTCCTCAGTGACCTCGGGGTACTGTGGCCTGGACTGTCGGTGTGATACTCTGGTTTCCTTGCATTCTCTTCACTCCTGGTTTTCTGTTTTGGGGAGACCAGCCCAGAGTCAAGTGAGGTCTCTGAACACTGACTGGCTGGACCTGGTGAGACCTCCCGTGGTACCCACGGTTTCCTTGTGTGCTGAGCAATTGGGCTGAAGGAGACTTTTCCTGCGTTCCTGGATTTTTCTGTGTTAACAGTGATGACACCTGAGGAGACCTCTTCCAATTTCCCTGTTTCATTTGGGACCCTGGTAGCAGGGCCTTTGAAGATCTTCCCTGTGTCCCTGGAGGCCTTTTTCTGTTTGGCTCCTGGGCCCTGGGAAGCCTTCTTTTGATTCTTTGCTATCTGAGAGTATCTAGGGCCTAGGCCTGGGGATCCCTATCCTGGCCTTTCTGGGAGCTTTCTAAAGCAGGAGGCTGCACCCGGGGAGTCTGACCCCAGGCTCTTTGGGGGTTCTTGGACCACATTATCCTTGCCTGTGGTGTCTTGTCCAGGTTTTGCTGTGATGGTTGAGTTGCTCCTGCTGTGTGGCCTGAATCTGGGTGGAGTGAACCATCTTCTGATTCGTTTAAAGATGCTTTCTCTTCCTGACGCCCTGAGGCTGTCATCTCGACAAGTTCGGAAACAGCTAAACATGTTCACTGTTCAGTGTCTCTTGACAAGTGAGCTCAGGAGGTAAATGTCCCCCTACTGTGATGCATGTTGAGGAGGGTTCTGAGTTCCATATGGGCACATTGGCAGAAAATGATGTCATGTATTGGGTCCCACCCGAGCACCCCCTCTGATAAGAAAACTCTTTGGCTAATATTTACATTCAAAGTCATTTTTCAGTGACTATTTCCTTATGATTCTTTTGCATCCATATATCTATGTCTGTCTAGCACCTATCTACAGTTCATGTTTGTAGTACTGAGCCTTGAACATACTGTCTTCATAGGGTGCTACATCCTCAGACTTTTGTTTCAGACACTTAGTAAGTCTCAGCAAATCATTGAAGTAAGCATGTTGGGCTGCACCCGTGATCTTGCTGTTTCAGACATCCAGAATTCTCAGATCACTTTATGCCCCACCATTCCCTAATCAGCGACCTCTTTGGAAACAGCAAACAAAAACTAAGGAGGTTGCTCTGGTTTAAGGCATTGGTGACATTTTATCTTTGAAGGCAACATACATGCGCTGAAACTTTGAAGTCCCAATGTGTGGGGTCCAGTTGCAAGCAGAATCTTCCTGATGCTGCTCTTTGACTGAGTGCATTTCTCTCAGCATTCTCAGCTGAGAGGGCTGTCATCCATGAAGCTCATGTTAGAGAATTTTAGAACTTGTCTAGCTAGCCTCTGGAAACCTTTGCAAAGTCTTCCCATGAACCTCCTCTCTCAGTGTTTAAGCCTCAGTGTCAGGTATTCCGAAGTGCAGACCTATCACCAGCACCAAAATCTGAGTCCATTTATTTTTAATTTGTGCATGTTTGCTGTATATAATCTTTACATTTCTTGTGTGGGGACAGACACAGCACATTATTGTTCCTTTTTCCTTTCCTTACCTCTTCTCCCTACCGCCTTCCTTTCTTTATTCCCTTTTCATTTGAGA